CACCTCTGATCATAATGTGTCCCTCTCAAAAAAAAAAAAAAATTGAAGACTATCACTCGATTGTCCTAAATTGCGGCGAACTTGTATAAATCGGGCAACTACCCCGGGAAGCATACTTGAGCAGTCGCGGCTTGTTCTTTATATGTCATCATCACCAGTGCCTCATAACTTTTGATGGTCAGTAATGCAACAATATAGTCCAATATATGTTCAAGGTAATTAAAACACTTAGGCCTCCTTGAGTTTCATTATGGAGACCTCCTGAAGTGCCAATCCAGCTGGAAAGACAACGGAACAGAACTGAAAAATGAATGCGACCACGCGCTCAATAACCTATTTGACTAAAAATGCAGGGCTCGCTTAGCAGAGTGTGTTTTACACAAGCTGCCGTTTGTGGTATTGTGCAAGCCGCAGTCACAGATAAGTAGCCGGCTCGCCACGTCATTGTTTCGTGTGTGGACTCTAGAAAAAGCTGGAAAGAATGAAAGTCGCACTAGTCATCAACGCACTGGTTGTGTGCTCGATTATAATCACAGAAGCGGAGCTAGCTGATAAGAGAAGTAAGTAAACCTTCTGGACACGTGGTCGCACGTCACTTTTTTTGTAGTGAATGGCCCTTTTGTTTTACTGGACAAGCTCACATAGCACGATCTCATAGGCTGTCGGTAAAAAACAATGAAGCCGGCTGTGTGCAAGGATATATGAGGCTTCTGAATTACGCTCATACGACACAGACCACTGGAGCAACATCGTAACTCTTGCATATCTGATTGAAAATATAGACAATAAGGACCGGTAGGCCACTTTAATTGTTACAGGGTTAACGCAGTACTTACCGGGCGATATTTTCGTTCCGTTCAGTATATTGCAAGGCCTGTGCGTGTCGTTACAATCGAACGAATTCTTTTAATATCCCTTGTGAAATCCAACGTAGTTCGGTGGGTTCTGTGGGATCACACAATAGTAATAGTAATATTATTAATATTATTATCATAACAATATTAACAATAATTTTAAAAGTTAACGTCCCAAATGCACGATATGATTATGAGGGTCGCCAACGTGGAGGGCTCCAGAAATTTCGACCACCTCAAGCTCTTCAACGTGAACCGAAACCTAAGTGCCTACACCAGTGTCAAGCATTTTCACCTCCATCGAAAATGCAGCCGCCGCAGCCAGGATTCGACCCCGTGACCTGCGTTGCATCGTTTCGTCAAGATGGCGAAAGAATGAATGCTACAACGGCAAATTGTAATGTCACGCGAAGAACACCAAGCAGCTTGAAACTCGCATCACGCTCTTTAGATTTGCATTTAAATTTCTTTTGTGACGACCGTTAAGGGTGGCGACGGCTTAGGCCAAGGCACGCCACAACGTTCGCTAGCGGGGGCCTTGGAGCACTGTATTGAACAAGGTATGTGTACAGGAGAACAGAAAATTTGCATGCCCCCTATGACAAGATTATGTTGCCAGTGCAAAAGAAGCATATATAACATCTTTGTTTGAACCAACCTCACAATGCCACTAGTCTTAGAGAGAGAGAGAGAGAGACAAAGAAAGAAAGAAAGAAATATAGAAAGATAGATAGGTAGATAGATAGATAGAAAGATAGATAGAAAGATAGATAGATAGATAGATAGACAGATAGATAGATAGAGAGAGAGATAGATAGATAGATAGATAGATAGATAGATATGCGAAAAGAAAGGCAGGGAGGTTAATCACATTGCACGCGGTTTCCGACCATACATGGAGGGAGGGAAAAGGCAAAAAAAAAATAGAGGAAGCAAAGAGAGAATAGTTATGAAGCGAAAACTGTCTCAATTTAGAAGCATGCCTCAACTTCATGCGAAAATAGGTGTAAGGCATAAGCAGGCGTCTAATATGCATTAATTCCGCACGCCTTTAAAACCTTTGCGATAAACAGCATGCATCCCTTAATGATTGCAGATGCGTACTTTTCTGAATGTTAGATGCGCAAGAGAAAGTCATCAAGCAGGAAAAGCGTGAGTCAATGAGTGAGGCATTATGCGAGGCATAAGGCGGGCTGTTTAACAATAAATAGTCTTCAAATAGGGTGCACGGGGAGCAGCGACTCCTCCAGCGGCACTTGTTTTTGCGTTTCAGCGCCTCGCAAGACACCTGACTTCCTTGGTTCTAGCCCACTTGCACGTGTGAAAACAAGTACGCGCTGAACGATTTATTTGTATTATACTTAAAACAAAGCCACACAATTTCTCGGAAGATGAAAGTGCTAGATGTAAAAGAGTGTTCAAGGCCTTTTTTTATTTGTGTTACCACAATGAATCGTAGTTATAAGCAGGAGCAGTGGTTTAATGGCCGAATACTGAAGAAAAGGGATAATAAAAAATATTTCGTAGAAAATTCCAATGGAGGAAACAGTGAAGCTTTGGCCAAATGAGAAAACGTAAATAGAAGCTGACTAATCCGAATCAATGTGGCAAATGTAAGCTACTATAGAAGGAAAGTGGAAATCAGTGTCTCTTAACACTGCTAAAAATGTAAAACAAATCAGATTTGCGTTTAATCCTGAGCATATTAGTATACCTAATGCATGAAAAATCATTAAGCTTGGCTCTACCATCTGCTAATAACAGTGTCTTTCAGATGCAAGGCCGTTTATTATGTCATTATTACCAATGATAATTACATACTAAATTGAGCAGGGCAACATTGAATATCGTATGCTAGACTTCGTATTTCTCGGTAAAGCTTTATTTTTTCTAAAGCCGTTTGCGTAATTATTATATTGGTCTAAAAGAATGTAATAATGTTTTGTCAATGGCACCCAGAAGAATATCTGGTGTGCTGTGTCTTTTCAAAATGTTCCTAAATGCTTACCACTGGTTGTGGAAACCTAGTTGACTTTAGAAAACGCGATATGTATTTGCCTAAAAAGAAGAAAAAAAAAAACATTTCATTAGTACAAAAGTACGTAGACAAAAACAAACACATGAAAGCAAAGACGAATTTAATCGCTGAGTGCCTTTAAATGAAAAAAAAAAAGGCGACCCTTAAGTAATCACCCGTAAGAGCTGAACGTGATAGCAATATTAAACACTTATTGTACGAAATATTTTAGAACTTGCTTAACACCCACTACGTCGCCTTAAGAGTACAGTTGCGTGTGTGCCTTTTGTAATGGCTGACTGGCTTTGAACTATAGAGTAATTATAATAATTCCATGTTTTGACGCCCGATGGCAACGTACGCTTGAACTATACATTATTACGGCAATATTTATTGTTGCATTGGGGAGCATGTATACAGGATGCAAGTGTTTGTAAAGCATGAAAGTTACTTTCACTGCATTTTCAACCAGAGGAAGTTATTTTCACTGCATTCAAAAGAAGAAAAAGAAAGGGACATGGCTCTGTGGCAGAGCAACCGCTTTCAACGCAAACGACCCGAGTTAGACCCCCACTCAGACCCAAAATATTTCATTACTTTATTTGAATCGTTCTCGATTTTCCGATAGGGATGCTAAACTTTCGATTCACGCAAAGATGAGCATTTTTCGCTCACAACTAACGACGCCGATGGCGGAATTTCGGCGAAACAAGCTCTTTAACGCTATCGCGTCAAAATTGATCGAAAAAGTGTTCACACGAGAGATACATGTTTGTTATTGTGTATTTTCAGAGAGACTAGGCTATCGCCCTGGAAAGCGAAGTCCTGGATTTCTGAGTAAGTATTGCGATTTAGGCTGATTTCGAAACCGAAGCGAGATAACAGTTGCGTCGCAACAGCAAGTACTGTAGACCACTAAGTTGTATACGTGACTCAAGAGACTTCGTCATCACTAATGTTAATACTATATTGATAACTGCTTTTTTTATTAAGGCAAAATCCTCAGATGTCTCCTCAAATTAGAAAGTTTGCTCTCGGCCAACTTTCGAATGTGGTACATTTCCAGCTGTGGTTCACAATGTGCGCTTGCGCCTTTTCGGAGCTATTTATATACACCAGCCATTTGCGTTCCTTCCTGAATTTTCTGTCGGTATAGATACGGAAGAGCACCTTAGTTACGACAAAAGTTTCGCCCAAATATTAAAATTGCGTCTATAAATCAAGGCAAGCCACATCAGTGTGGTGCCACCAAATACACTGATTCCTGTAAACGCATGAAGGAACCGAGGCCAGGTCAGATGTATTAGCGTTTCTATGATACCTTCTACATTCGTGTTCTCTTTCGCTTCCACATTTTCTGTATAGCATCGGTCTCGTCATTATTTCCGGTGGGCCCGCAATTTTATAGATAACTTCCTAGCCACAGCGTTTGGTAATATTTCAACTAGTGCTGAAGTGCCTCAAAAAGACGGAAACGAATACCGGGGCTTCCCCGTAATAAAGTGTTCTCGTGTGACGTCATAGGGTCTAACAAGCTAAAAAAAGCATTTATGCATGCCAGTTTTAGATTAGGCTGAGCAAGGAGCTTAATGAATTTTTGTTTAGGCACGCTTCGACATTAATATTGACTAATATACTGCTCCTATTTCGATTCAAGATCGATAACTTTAGCTGAAACAGCTTCTCTCGGAATTCAGAAAACAAGAAAAAACATAAATTAAGAATCTAACGAATTCTCACGCAATAACATAGCAGTTTTCAAAAGTTTCTACAAAAGAAAACAAATTTAATTTCAACAATTTCACATATCGTCTGAACATTTTTGACCCTTGGTAACGGAAAATAGCACTGATGGCGGCAAAAGAAGATCTTACTGAAGCAAAAAAAAAAAAAGTGGGACAGATTTGTTATATTTTCCCTAACAGAGTTAAACAAGATGCTTGTTTCAAACTGTGCCTGTCCTTTGAAGCCACGTTCATAAAAATTAAGCAATCTTTACTGCAGTTCAACCTACCGTAAGACGAGGAGAACATGATTTATCAGTCAGATGGAGTACTATGTTGCCAGGGACAGTAATCCTGCGCCTAAGTACTAATTTGTGGCTACCGCAGGGCGTGCAATTTCTGATCCGATAAGTTCTCTCACACACAAGGATAAAGGAACTCGTGCTTCAGGTGTTTCACCCAGTCGGATAATGCGCAGAATGAAGAAGGGTTGGCGACACAAAGGCTCAACTAAGAATAAAGAGGGTAAGTAAAGCTTACAGCTTGCTCACAAATGCGACTCTATCACGAAACGTGACTTCTGAAGTGAACACCACTAGATTAGGCATGCTTTCAGTGCTTGTTAAAACACATGCTACCATTATTAATCTTAAGCGCCTTAGAATTCTTTGGTAAAAACACTGTCAAATGTGTTTGGTTTAGGCATAGGTGTTTTTGCTTTATTTGGACCCTCTAGCTGCATCTGTACTGAAGCTGTGTGGTGATATTACAAATAAGTAAAATGCAATCTTGTACTATGAAGATTGCACTTTACTTGCTCATTGCTCGAAATAAAATTGGCAAAATGGTGTAATTGAGTGGTGAAAACTGATATAGTGTATCATTCTTAGCGAAAAATTTCGTTCGCAAAGATAAATTCAGTATATTATTAATTTAATAAAAATAATGTATTAAAAATTTTAATATTTTAACAAAAAAACGAAACGGGTGAATGAGATACGGTGTTTGTTCTCATCATGAGACACGATTTCGTATCTACGAATTTCTGGTGGCAGAACTGTCACTTAAAACGCGATTCTCGAGAAAATGCGTCAACCAGGTGGCATTTACATTTTTAGGTAGGCTAACGAGCAGTGTCACTTGGAAAGGCCTAACCAAGATGAAACGGCGAAAGCACGATGGTGAGTACATTTTGGCGCTGGCATGTGCGCAGATCAATGCACATCAACAATAAATTGGCACATTAACTGAACATATCACATGTGGGAGCAGAAAGAGAGGGAAATACAAATGAGGGGGTGGCAAGAAGTTTAACCGTAATTGAAATTTCTTAGACCCCACATGCTTCCGCCATGAGAGCCCCAGCATTAAAGCGTACTAATATATATATATATATATATATATATATATATATATATATATATATATATATATATATATATATATATATATATATATATATATATATGTGTGTGTGTGTGTGTGTGTGTGTGTGTGTGTTTGTGTGTGTGTGTGTGTGTGTGTGTCTGTGTGTGTGTGTGTGTGTTTGTGTGTGTGTGTGCTGCTGGGAAGGGAGCACACGTTAAGCTCAACATCTGAGCTATGTGGAAATTACTGATGAAAAATGGTAGCTGGCGTCATAGGAAACGAAACTTTGAGACTACATTGCCAAAGCTTTGTTTTAGCAAGGATGGCGTCTTTAGACAGGTGGATCAAAAATCACGTGAAAACATAGAGTGTCACAATAACAACCATTACTTTTTGAATTTTTGGTCCACCAATCTACTTCGCAGATTGTGAAATCATGCAGGCTCCTCGACAAAAGTAACGATTATCAGCAATGTTCAGAGTGAGCGTGCTGTCAGAAGGCTCTGCTCCTTGTGCGGAATCATTGCATTCTGTGTAATTAACGCGACAGTATTTAGTTTATTGCAGAATCTGCCATGTGGCATTATACTAGTCGTGGGAACTTTCGTTTGCCCTGATTTTTCCAAGACTGACTTCAGAATGAATCAGACCTTGAACAGATCCTGAACAAGGCGACTTTTTCTATTTTTAGGTAAGGGTAAAGTTACCAGCGATTCAACGAAGAACGATGTAACCAAGCAGAATTCACCGCAGAAAGTTGGTGAGTATGCTATAGCGCCATGACGGTGTGTCAAGCTACCTGACATTTATGAAAAGTGGATCAACTGCTCGCAAGTCCATCACAGGAGTGCACAATTTAAGCGAGCTGGTGTGACCACATGCATCAAGCAGCGCACTAGGATATTTAGCGTTCACGAAAACCACATTTTCATATACGGTTAAAAAAACTTAATAAAAAAATGAAGGGGGATTGAATTACGTAATGCATATCGTTAGTGGTGGTCGTATGGGATCACTTTATTTCGCTAATTTTCTACGCCTAATATTCTTGGATATACTTCAAAGTATACTATTTTGAAGAGTGAAACATGTGTTTTGCTAATCATAACAGCGCAATTTTTTGTTTATAATTTTGACATGTATGCTCAGCCTACGTAACATTTTGTAGTGTATCCAGCATCTTGAAATGTTTGAAATTTATTTTTTTATCAATTTTGTACTTTAGTGCATAATCAATGTAAATATATGTAGGTACCAAGATTCTTACGTGCCCCGTCAGGGCTTTCACAGTACAATGCAATAAGCAAATAAAAAAGAACAAGTACGCATATTTATACTTTTAGGTGCTGACAAGGAACAGACAACGTCTGTGCCAGAGGTACCCGCTCAAGGAATGGCACCCGCGGGTGAGTTAAATTACAGTGTTTTCGTGAGAGAGCATAGCACCGTGATGATTCACCATTTTCCTACAAAACGCCTCCGGTGCAGTGAGCACCAGAAAGCAGAACGAGACGACACAAGCGGTGTGTTGTTGCTATAATTGTTACCGGGGACCATATAGTCGGCGTACCGTATCCTCTTTATGACAAACAAGTAACGCCACTGCACTATCCAATCAACACGCACCTATTATATCCAAGTCATGCTTCTGAATTTTTTTTTTTCATTTCGAACTTGACAGCGTCTAGGGTGCTTGCTCGCATCGATTTCTGCAGCAACACAGTTTGAACAAAATGCGAACCTTTTATTAACGTGAAATTTTGGTGTTGCCGTCGTCGCCAACGCCGTTCGTTGTGAGGGAACGAAAAATCGAAAAAGATAAAAAATAGATAAATAACAAAAAAGTTTGCTTTCTAGTGACAATCAAACCCAAGCATTCTATGAGCAAAGGAAATGTTTTGCCACGAAAAAAAAAGAAAATAGAAAAAAACGCACCATGAATGTCCTGTAGTGAGCCTCCCTAAAGAGACCCTAAATCCCAGTGAGTTCCAAAGGAAGACATCAGGTTCTTTCTCGCTTTCACCACCTCTGCCGCAACTGCTATCTCTTCCCTGCCACATATTTTTTCATTATACACGCGGAATGTCAGCACTAAGCGCTGAGCCAGTGAAAATTTGGCACTTTATGTTTGCACGTGGCTATGTCGGTTCGCGCAGTCGCAAACGCAGAAAACGCAGAAAACCGCGTGAAAGTATAGGAGTTTATCTGGCAGTATAGTCATGCGGGACGAGACAAAACGGACACGCGACTGCGTGACAAAGCAGGGTATTCGCGACAATTCCCAACAGGTGGGTCTAGTATACCGACCAATGGCGAAGTCATTTCTTCCCGGCGTCACGTGAACGGGCTGGTGGCGTCACGAATTGTGCAGCGAATGCGATAAACGCCGGGAGAGAATTTTTACTTCGTATTTTTGGTGGTTCTTTAGCGTTCGCTTAACAAGTGTGATAGTGTGTGGCAGAGCGTAGAATCCCATCAGGCGTCCAAACATGTGGACTGCACAATGAGAGGGCGTTTCAAAGACCCGTATATTGGAAAGCACTCAGGCGTAATCTAATACTCTTATCTGCAGCAGCATCAACACATGGGCAGCTGCAGATGTGCGAGGCACTTTAACGATGTGCGAAGGACACTTCGCCGATTGCGTAGTGGGCAGTTCGCAAATGTACTACCGCGAGCAATACGAATTCATACACGCGAGCTCTTGCAGATTCGCCTCGCACTCTACATCGGCCGATTCGCAGCGGCCGTTGTCGGAAGCAAAGCGGAAAGTGCGGCGCGCTTCTCGTATCTGTTGACATTCCCGCTTATAGGCATCGTTGCTGCAACACGGCGGCTTATAGCACATTAGTGGCTGCTAACGGTGTAACTCACATTACGCGCTCAGCCACACCTAATCTCCCATGTTGCTGCTGAGATATCGGCTGTGACGTAGGCCGCCATGATCGGATGCCTGTTTTATATCTAGGTTGTGTCGGCTATACACATTTTCATATAACGCCTTTTCTTACTAAGCTTTTTGCATTTTCTTTCGTGTTATCATCGATAGCGACCGACTGCAATAATAATAATAATAATAATAATAATAATAATAATAATAATAATAATAATAATAATAATAATAATAATAATAATAATAATAATAATAATAATAATAATAATATAATAATATAACAACAATAATAATATGTGGGGCTCCACGTCCCCACACCACCATATGATTATGAGAGACTCCTTAGTGGAGGGCTCCGGAAATTTTGACCACCTGAGGTTCTTTAACGTGCACCCAAATCTAAGCACACGGGCTTACAACACTTTCACCTCCATCGAAAATGCAGCCGCCACAGTCGGGATTCAATCCTGCTAACTGCGGGCTTAGCCGCCAAGTATCTTAGCCACTGGACCACCACGGCGGGGTATTGCACGCAATTCGCCGTTCGCCCACAACGCTAGCTAGCGGGAGTGCCAACAGACAGTGGAAGAGAACCGCTCCTTTCCAAGATGGTTTCGGCCGCGCCATCATGTGCACGTATCACGCTATCTCGGTTTTGAGGCTATTTGCCACGCGCTCGCGTTTTCGAGCTCATATTGCTCACGATACTGGCATTATTCACTCTAGAATTATCAAGTCGAAAGGGTGCCTTTTTGTTCAAAAATAATCGTAATCTAACTTGTGTTCTTTTCCTTGCATCACGGTCACGCGCCGGGCACACGGCAGTTTCGTGCCACGGATAACATGCGTGTCGTCAGCGTGCCATATCATTCTTGATAGGAAAGATTCCGGGGCCGCGTTTTCAGGAAACGAAGCGCAATCAAGCCGGATGACGATTGTATTTGGGGGAGAAAAATACACCTTTTTTACTCGATCATTTCTTTAGGCATGCCAGGATACCGTGAAAAGGTCAGGGTTGCGCACGGAGACGCTCATTTCCTTGCGGCATCTTTGAGGTCTACACGCATCAAGAATCAAAGCCAAGCCGGCAATTGAGAAGACGTGTAAGGAGCCCATATACGCTATATCAGCTTCTTCACTTCGGGGCGAAGCTGAAGCATCTTCCAAGTTGTATTTGTTTTCCTGAAGCAATCTACTTTGACCGAAATTTCCACCTATTGTTACATTTAAAAACATGACTACCACAAACCAGTTTAGGCACTCTTAGGTTCGTTCATACTTAGAAACGCCAACCCTCTGGTTTATATATAATTTCAGGAGGATACGGCAGGGACATGGGAATGATGGGACATGGAATGGGGATGGACCCAATGATGGGTGGAGGCATGGACATGGGAATGGGCGGTATGGCGTCTGGAAGCAAGATGATGGTAGGTAAGTACTGCCTCGTTGCTTATCTTGCATCGCTTAAGCGAACAACCTTGTTGTATGTTGTTTTGACCTCCTTTGCCTGGTCACTCGTCTTTCGCGCTGTTTCACTTCAATATATGTCGTCCCAACATGCCCGAGCAACCACTTGAACTACCTTGTGTTACGGGACGATTGTAAGAAGTATATGTGACTGCAGAAATGTGTGTTGACTTCACACCGATACTGTATGATTTCAGCTGCTTTTTTTACATTATACATGAACCTAATAACACGTTGATGCGCACCCCTATACCGTGTTAATACTGAGGAAAACAATATGAATACAGGTCTTGCCCTTGAGCATAAGCTCATTTTAGTGAAGGTAAGTAGTACGTTCAAGTGCAAATCTTAAGGGGCGCTTGTTTCTGCCACTATGCGTGCTATTTTTGGTACTTCTGTGAGACTGAGGACATGCTTCTAGTGAGGCGTGTGAAACAGAATACTTGCCTAGCATTCCGTTCCATTGCACTGATCTTTACTAGGGAGAGCTGGATGGCGCCTCGAGCGTGCACGATTGAAGCCACCGGAAGACGTGGTTTGTGTCCCGGAAGCCACCACCACGAACAGTCGCCTGCTGTGGGCGCAAGGGCATTTTCTTTTTTTTTTTTAATGAAATGCCGGCCTGTACAGCAGTAAACTTTATGAATCGACTGAAAATGTAATCACGAAGACAATTTACGCCTGAGTACCTCAAAGTTATACAGATTTTCACACATTCTGAGAGGAAATTGTCGTAGCTGACCGCCTATTTTTTAACGAGGCGTGTTGAAGGTGTTTGGCTTTTTGATAGGCGGTTTCACACAATCGAGGCCTGAAATATACAAGAAGTGGGTCAGTAACTTAAAGAGGGAAAAGTGGACGCCGTTTCCAGGAAGGAGACTTTGCGGTGACCATTTTGTGGGGTCATGTTTTGACCACATGGTTCCATAAACTTATCTTCGAAACACTGTCATCCCGACGTTGTTTTTTTCCCCCGAAACACTTAGGAAAGACCAAACCTCGCGCTCCTGGTTACCGTTGCACTCATTCATTCTTTCCTGTAAAAAATGCTGTCACATTTTTTTCCGTCACCTAACTAATGAGTAATTGTAAGGTTATAAGTAACAGCACTGCGCTGTATTCGAACGGCGTCGCTATGGCATCTGTCTTTTTTCGTGTAGTGTTATAGTCGTCGTTCTAAGTGATGCCTAATCGTAGGGTTTGGCGTATGCAATAGTTGTAGATTACAGCCCCCCGTCGTATTCGAACGGCGTTGCTACGGCGTCTGTCATTTTTCTTGTAGCAATGGATAATTGCGAGAATGTTCTTCCAAAAATTCGGCATATCCCACGAACCTGGGAATTGACGTTATGCCAAGCATGTAGAGGGAAGGTGTACCATGTTGAAACTGT